ATGCGCACTACGCCAACTGTAGCAATGGAGGTGTTTTATTAAATCACACGCCACTGCACATCTTCATACAAGGGGAAACCAGGTCAGCTATTCACAGGCTAATGCAAGGACAAAATTCAATAAGCCAACTACATAGCGCCGACCACACAAGGCTATATCAGCAAGTAAAAAGAGATAATATTCTAGCTATGTCTACTGATAGAGCCATAAGCACATACAAATTTGAAAGAAATTTTCAAATTCAAATACCAACCCGAGAATCCTGGAAACAGGATCTCCCGTACAGGCTGAACTCGTCTGATACACAGACGGTTCAAAAACCAAGGAAGGAGTCGATGCTGGAATCTATGGACCCAAGTCAAAAACAACGTTTTCGCTGAGTTTAGGAAAAATGTAATAGTGTTCCAGGCTGAACTAATAGCCATACAACACTGTGTAAGAGAAATATTAAATCAACAAGTATCAGACAAAACGATTGTCATATACTGTGATATCCAAGCAGCTCTAAAGGCAATTCTCCCACCAGAAATCAAATCACGACTGGTGAAAGACTGGCTAGAAGACCTGGCAGAGCTAAGTAGTCAAAACAAGTTAACCCTAGCCTGGGTGCCAGGCCATGAGGGATATCAGGGCAACGAAAAGGCCGACGAATTAGCCCGAGAAGGCTCAGATAAGGCCATGACAGGCTCCGTCCCCTTTTGTGGAGTTGCTAAGGCATTGTGCAAGGCATCCATCAAACAATGGATACAAAAATAGTCTCAGGAATAATAAAACAACTATTTAAGACTGAAAGAGGCCAAACAGTTCATGAATGAACCATCGGCCAAGTTCATGAAAGACCTACTGGATCAAAAGCGTCAAATCGTTAGGATAACAGTAGGTCTCTTTACTTGACACTGTCGCCTTAAAAGGCACATTAGTGTCATTAATCCAGCAAGAGAAGCAACTTTGTGCAGGTTCTGTAAAGAAGAAGAGAAAGCATCATTCCACGTCCTGTGCCAATATGAAGGCCTGGCTGGAATGAGGTTTCTAATATTGGGCCAAGAAAAGCCAAACGCATGCAACTACATGCGGGAGCCACTGTCAAAGCTACTAAGTCTATTAAAAAAGACCAAGCTAGACGACATACTCTAACACAAACGGAATTTCACAATAGATCTGAAAAGGTCGTGGTGGACAAGGACAAACAACGTCCAACTTCTAATCTAATCTTATCTAACTTTTGTAAGTTTCCTCACTTTAACGAATAAAGTTAAATTTGACTATTTCCATAGTTTTAGTATTTTTCCGAGACCAATACATTGATTTATTATGTGAGAGATAGGCTAACAGATATAAACATGGATATTTTTTATTTTGTAGATAGATCGTCAGGATCCGGTGAAAAATTATTCTTTAAATTTGAGATGTATGCAATTAATTCGCCATTAGTTATGGATTCAAGATATGTCGATTGGTTTAGTTAATATTATTGTAAAAAGCTTGTGGTTTTAGCTTGTAGATTATGTTTTATATTATTTGCTATTTTTTTGGTATGTTTCCGAAGAAGTTATTGAAGTATTTCCTTACATGTTATATTATTTATAATTTACCTCATTTTGTTGCTGTTTTTACCAGCCTCATTATTTCATATTTTGTTTATTTTTTAATTTCATTAAATCAAAGAAAAACTTATCATCCTTATTTTATAAATAAACTAGAGAATTGAAATAAAATAGTATATAACAATTTTCATAAAAGGGACAAGACATTCAAAATCTTTCTCACATATTTATTACGTAAATATAATAGACAATCAAATCTTAACTTAAAATTTAAAAAATGATTTATTACTAACTTAATTTTCATGTAAGTTTAATATGGAGATTTTTAGGTTAATTTTATGTGATGGATTGAATTAGCAGACTAAATTAAAGTGCACCGAGTGCATCTCTGCAACAAGAAATAGACCAAGTTTGGTAATATAGAGATGAATATAAAAATTTTGATAGAACTCGAACTGTTAAAACGGTTAATGCTGTTATTTTATATACCTATAATTTTCGTGGATTAAGAAGGAAACCAAAATTAAATTTGACGAGTATGGAACATGACATTTTTTCACACAAGTGGAAAATATTGTCGCATGAGGGTGAAAAATCACTTTTACACAAATGATGTAGAATAGTTTTCCTACGACCACAAAATAATGTTATCAAAAAATAATGTAAAACCAGAAACTCTGGCTATAAAGGTTCAATCAAAATGTGGCTGTTTCTATTATATGCCTTATTGCATAATTTTTACCAAGGTATAAATAGGTATAAAAAATAGTTGAATAGAATAATGTTTATTCATGTTAAGCTAAAAGTTGGTGAACTTTCTACGGTACGTTAAGTTCTTAAGTTACGTTACGAACATTTATAAATTAGAATACGTAAATTTAATATTTCAGTTTCTTACGTTAATTTCTTAAGTTACGTTTCAGCGGTTATATATTAAGCTTTATAATAAAGTTACGTTAAGAAATATTTTATTTAACTTAGAATACTTGATGCGTTATTTATAAAAGTATATAAAATATGTCGTTCAGACCACCAGACCACGATGTTTAGACAAAAAAATATTTTGTCCATCTACATTGGCCTGGTGTAATTTTTAACGTTATTCTGATGAAACCTTGTATCAGTTGGACAAGATCAAGCACTCTGTTAAACCATAGGGACATTTATCTGACCGTGCAAAACCTATTTAAATATGTATGTAGGTATTTTGTGTTTTTCTTATTTGTTAGAAATTCCATTTTCAAGGTCATACAGGCAATCCTTAAAATAATGATAAATATTATTTTATTCTCGGAATTTGTTTTGTATTTAGGCTCTACCTTCAGTTATAACTTCCGCACTTCTAATACTCGGCATGCAATTTTGAATCGTACATTCTTTTTTTAGTTTGTTTGTATAAAGATTTTTAAAGAAAAAATTAAATTAAATCGCCATGATTTTCTCCGTAAAGCAGTAAAAAGGAATTTATTTAAATGTTTGCATGATGGGTATAAGGTTGCAAATTCGATATAACTTGTCAATCTATTCTTAGATTTACAACACTTTTGTTTTAATTTCGCAATGCAAAATTGACCATAGATAATTAACAATCATTTGCGTAAATCTTGGAGCGTTGCAAATTTGTATTTACATATAGGAAGTTACTTAAATCGCTCTGTAAAATTTGCAATACTTTAAAAAAAAAATTGCTACTGCAAAAAGTGCAAATTGTTAATTTTTTAAAATTTTTTAAGGTTTCTGACCCTGTCCAAGGTTGCCAATTTACCAGATTGTTAAGAAAAATAATATTAACATTTGCAACCGATTTTCAAAACTTTTGCATTATAATTAGAGGAAAATAAACAAATATTTTGCTATTTAAAAAATATATATATTTCCGTTCAAAATAAAGGTTACAAATTGGAATAGCTGTTTCAAAAACTGGTATGACTTATGTCATCGGTTTGCAACACTATTGCAATTTTTTTATCTATGATATAAACAAAAACGTAATTTTCCAAAAAAACTCATGTTTCGGACTTTCAAAAAAGTTGCAAATCTGATATAATGTTGAAAATAAAACAATATATATTGCTTAAAGTTTGCACCAGATTTGCAAAACTTGCAAAATTAAATTTATAATTATTTCAATTTAAAAAAAGTTTAAAAACTTTTGTAAATAATGAGAGTTGATTATTATCTTTAATGACCGATCTATTCGGTAAAATAAAGGATCCAGTCGTACGGCACCCTACAGGCAGATTCAGGGCCGGACTTTAATTTAATGTTACGATTTGTTTGTAATTATGTATCTAAATATCTGAAGAGCAGAGTTATGAAGGTTAATGATTAAACAAAATTTCCTGGACTTGTGTTTGTAACGTCTTATTGAAAATTTAAAAAAAGTCGATCAGAATAACAATTTTTATAATTCCTTCTAGACTAGATATTATCCCTCACTTTCATCATCGCAAAGTATACTTATGGTATTTCAGTTAAGCAGTGCCATAAATTGAATTTTCAAATCTATCTGCTCATTAATAAGTAATAAGCTAACATATTGTAAATATTTAAAATTTGACAGGCACAGCCGATATTTTTAAAGTAAAACGTTTTTATGGGCTCTAAATTTGCCTAAATTAAACAATAATAAATAAAAAAATTGTATGCGATGCAGACTTTAACGGTAACATAGTGTAAATTAACGAAAAATACAATCACAGATCTAAAAAAAGCCGGCATTAAACTTTTTAAGACATTTTATAAAGATCTTTTATAAAATATAATAGCTATTACTTTTACAACTAAAATATTATACAGGAAATTTCAATAAAAACTATCCATCTTAAGTAATTTTAAAAGTAAGGCTTTTATGAAAAATTACAAAAATAAATAAAGAATTATATTTATGTTTTTGTATATTCGTTGTAACTTTAACCCTGACCTCCCAATTTATTGAACCCAACTGACCCCCTACATGTTCATCGACTCCTCTGAACAATCATGCTTTCGTATATAGGATTTGCGATTTATAATGAAAAGTGTATAAAAGAAAGATTAAAATTTGAGGACAAACATAAATAACATGGTTTTTCCTGTATTTCAACATTATATTTGCCGCCTAATTTAATAAATCCAGATAAATAACTTCTTTAAAAACATTTTTAGTTTATCTTAAAATTGATGATGTCCCAGAAATATCTAAAGACAAGAACAATTATTATTTATATTCAAAATTAAACAGTCTAAATATTTGTCATACATTAATTATTTTTAAAAATGAACTAATATTTGATTATGTGAGATTTTTTTTTTATTATTACACATGTATATCTTTGATAAAAATTTCCTAAACATGGCGGTGTGTCTACAAGTACATACAATGCTAATGTCACATTAAAGAAGAAACAGTAAATTTTCAATATCAATGCAACGCTTAGTATTATTAACACTTCTTAGTAATAAAGGAATACTTACTTTAAAATTTAACACTTGATAAATAAATAAAACAACACAATTTTTTAAATGTTTCACTGCGATATCCGCGTGTTGACTGATCAAGTGTAAAACAATAAATAGCCAAATATTTCAAAAAACATTGGTACACACTCCCAATGTGTTAAGGTCGTTTCACTTTTTTGTTCTTTATTCGTACACACTCTGTGTTTATAGAGAGTCAATCATTTACTAATTTTGATACTGTGAATGGATTATCCTTTATTTATAATTATAATACTGTAATTAATATATTTATATTGATAGTGCATATACATTTCTTCTTCATATTATAATGTTTTGGCTGACATTTTATTAGTTAAAGATCTATATATATTTGCACACAATTATTGTTCATTTATAAAAATAAAGTTTTCTAAAAATGTATTTATACAGGGTGTACAGGGTTGTCATCGAAAAAGGGTAAAATTTTCCGGGGAATGGTAATACATTTCGGTTTCGTCAACTGTTCATTTAAACATTTTTTTATATTTTTATGAGTAGTACCATCCCTCGAATTATTTTAGAGTTTTTCGATGACAACCTGTATAACTTTGATTTTTCCAAAAAAAAAAACCATTTGTCTTTACACTAAGAACTGAGCTAAAAACTTAATAAAATAAATTTATAAAATATAATTACTAGTAAGTTAATTACGAGTGCAAAAGTGACACTTTTCGCACTAGTGAGAAATATTTAGGACGAGGCGTGATCCAAGTTCAATAATCAGACGAGTGTGAAATATCACTTTCGCACAAATGTAAAAGTAGGAAATATGTATATTGGTTCAATCTGGTTTTATGTTTAGATATATATCTGTACCCCAGAGCCAGAGTATGGTAAGTCCAAAAACTTAGTTTTTCAGGAGAGCATTTTTAATATATTCATTTTAGAGTGTAGACTGTGGGCTTAGCGTAGTTAAAAATTAGCTATTTTTGTTATAATAATAATAATAATAATAATAATAATAATAATAATAATAATAATAATAATAATAATAATAATAATATATTTATTGACCTTTGAAGCCATATCTACAAAATATGAATAAGGTAAGTCATACATAAATAAATAAATAAAATGAACAAAGTAACAATGCAACACAGTACAATATAAAAATCTATAAAAATCTCATATATCAGCTAAGCAACCGTATACTGTAGGAACTCATCTAATGAATAGAAAACATTCACTGTTAATAGCTGCTTAAGATCTTTCTGGAAGCCTTGTAGGGTTTGATTATTTTTTATGTTTGATGGCAGTTTGTTAAAGAGGTAAGAACCGGCGTTATTTTAAAAGATACGTCAAAATGGAAAATGCCAAACGATGCGCCGCAAAATTTTAAGTCACTTAACATATTTATCTAAAATTTGGCCAATTTGGACTTAACATAGTCTGGCTCCGAGGTACAGATATATATATTTTTAACAATAAATATTATAAATTTAAGCTGTCTGGGTACATAATATTTTTTAGTATGTCATTGCGTTCAACTGAACAAATATATTTCATATCCATTCTAGGTAGTGAGAACACTGCAGAAAAATAAAATCCACCAATCACAATTCATATTTTGGACACCCAACTACTATTATTTTTTAAATTTTAAATAAGTGACAAACCTGTCAAACTAATTGTCAGTAGATTTTTTAGTTATTGAGATTATATATACATTAAAATAAGTTATTTTTGTGTAGATTTCATAAATAATAGCATTTTTATTTGGTCCATATTTAAAAAAAATTTTTAATCAAACTATATGAAACTATTTTATTTACGAGTATTAAAACCAAAATCCTAAAAGTGGGCGTAGACGCTTGGAAAGAGGGCTTGCCTTCCACGCGAATAGCCCAGGATTAAATCTCGGCGGGACTAATTAAATAATATCTTTTTTTTTATGTTTATTTTATTTTAAAAAACAGTAAAATTCATAAATTATTTTAAAATTAGTTATTTTGTCTTAATAACTTAAAATGTTTTTAAAATTTTGAGGATTGTGGATTGTCCATACCCACACTTTTTGCACAAACTACTGTTTTTTAATTAATATGTCTACCTATACCAGAGAATACCCACCTAAGAAGCTAATCTCAAAGAGTTTTCGTATGTACCAAAATTGTAGTATCATTGACATACATTCTCTACTAATACACGAAAACCTATAAATATCAATATTAATATCAATATCAATTTATGTCGTTTGGTTCATAAGAATTAAACACCTACTAAAGTTACGATGATATAGAGAAAAGAACATTATTTTCTTACTATGTTCATTAGTCTCTCATCTGACTACAAAAGGTGGCACGTCGTCTTTTTTTGCTAGGTACACACGAGGGGGTGAACAACGTGTACTATGTCTAGTTGGTGGGAGCTGGTGTTGTGACCTGTCAAATTCAAAGTAAAGTTGCTTATCGTTGGATTTTTTAGTTTTTTGCTGGCAACGAGATAATATATGCTTCTAGACGTCAATAACAATAAAAAAATTGCATTGCAAACATTTTCTGTCATCCGGTTAAATACTAACAGTTATATCAATCAATCCTTTAGAGCAGTACATCCAGACAAGAGAAGATTCATAATATGCAATAATGCAATTTGTACCAATAGTAAGAATAGCATATCAAATAAAATTGTTGAATTAGAAAACTGATTAACTTCTTTAACTATTCCTTAGTTAGCAACTTTTGTAGATCATTATATCAGAGAGGTGTAGTTTCAATGTATACAAAAAATTGCTTTTAAATTAAACAAATTGAATGCAATTTTACAGTGGAAAGGGTAATATATTTAGTGATAAAGTATACAATTTGCTTTAATTTTATTATAAAACCTCATAGTATGTGGTGATACAAACGTTGACTTATTGACAAAGTCCAGAATCAAAAATACTAAATATATTCAATAAACTTGGGTTATATAACATTATTTCGGAGCCAACAAGGATCACTAGCTCTAGTTCTATCCTGTTAGATCCAATATTTACAAATATAACTCATAAAAAGATAACTGTAGAAAAAAGTTTTCTTTTTGATCATTCTTTACAACTGTTCAAATTTGATATTAATTAAAAATCAAAAAACCGGGCCTGTCTTTATTAGCAACTTAAATATTTTAGTGAAAATTCCCTACAAAAATCACAAAAATAACTGATAGATATGTGAATTATATAACATTCTGAAAAGCACTGACAATTATTTAATTAAAGAAAGATACAAAAAAACTAAAAAAAAAAAATTTAATCAAAAAATTAATGAAGCTAAATTTACATCATAATAAAAGGATTATTTATTAAAGAAACACATATAAAGAAAGTTGGAAAAGTATCAATAAAATGAAAGGTAATTCTTCAAAAACCCTAGCCAGTGAAATGGTAAATAATAAAGGTGAAAAAATTAATGATTCCAATAATATCTGCAATGCCTTAAATATTCAATTTATTAATGTAGACTATATTATTCCTCTTAAGAGGGGTTAAGTGATACTTCATTTGTAAGGTATTGGAAGCCTTTTTACAACGGTGTATGAAAAAAATCACATTCTTAAAAACAATTAATTGTTTTATCATGCTTACAATCAAAAAAATAAAACTGGGTTTTTAAATCAAATGTTCAAACTGTCCTCCATTGACTTCCATACAATAATACAATCTTGACTGAAAACCGTCTCTAACATGGTCCAGCATAATTGAAGTTATTTGACGACACTCCTTTACAATTCGTTGGCGTAGTTCGTCCAAATTTTCAGGCTGTCACAAAAATCTTGGACTTAAGATGTCCCCACAAGAAGAAGGCCAAAGGGTTCAGGTCAGGAGAGTGAGCAGGCCACTCCATAGGACCTCTTCTTCCAATCCAACGACTAGGGTATTGTAAATTGAGGTATTAGCAAACTGGTGCGGCGTAGTGAGGAGAATCTTCGTCTTGTTGGAAATGCAATTGTTGTTCAATTAGTAGAGGATCGTTTTCAAATTTTTCTGTTATTAACGGATCAATCGCATTTTCCAGCATTTCAAGATAAATTTCGCTATTTAAATTACCAGGAATAAACAGATGCCCAATTAGGTGGTCTCCCAAAATTCCTATCCAAACGTTTAGCTTTTCCGGATATTGAGTATGAGCTTCTCGAAATACATAAGGATTTGTATCTCTCCACATTCTACAGTTATGCCGGTTAACCTCTCCATTAAGTGAAAAAGTGCTTTCGTCAGAAAAGCAAACGTTGTACAAGAAATTTGGGTTATTATTGATACGCTCGGCCATAATTTCGCAAAACTCTTACCTTCGATCCAAATCATCATCATTTAATTCGTGAATTAATTTAATTTTGTACGGATGGAACTTGTGTTAATGTAAAATTCTAAAAACTTTAGATTGGCCAATACCGGAAACTGCAGAAAGTTGTCGGACAGATTGCGTGTTTGGCATAAGTTGGACATAGCCCAGTACCCCCACAGCTGCTCCTTCATCATTCACAATTACAATGGGTGCCTTTTTTTTATCCATTACTGAACCCGTCTCAACAAATTTTGAAATCAATTCCATTACGTACTTATGGCGAACGCTACGTTCAGGATTTTTTCGGTTAAATATCCTTGCAGCCGCTCAGGCACAATTTTGATTTTGGGTAATACAGGCTAACCAGCTCAACACGTTCTTGCAATGTGTACACCATAATTTATGTTTTAAATTGTAAGCAAATAAACAAAGTAGTAACTCAACAGATTGATTTTTAATACATGAAATGATCGAAGAAACGTGATAAACATCTTTTAAGAACAAAAAATGAAGGCAAGATAAGAAAATGTTTTGATTTTTTTTTATTTATTAGTTCGAGAGAATTTATTATTGTATGGAAGTCAATGGAGAACAATTTGAACATTTGATTTAAAAACGCAGTTTTGATTTTTTTGATTGTAAGCATGATAAAACAATTAATTTATTTTAAGAATGTGATTCTGTTCATACACCGTTGTAAAGAGGCTTCTAAGACCTTACAAATGAAGTATCACTCAACTCCTCTTTCTTATTCAATTTTGTGGGGTTGAAGCCCCCAGTCATAGGGTGTTGCTCTTTCAAGCCTCAAATATATGTTCCCCAAAGAAAATCATCCGACATGTTTCGGGAAATTTTTCCAATTACTATGGAATAAGAAATATACGGGGTGGCTCGTCTGAGATGGAATGCCCTGTATATG